GCCGTTAAATGCTCTCACTGCTTTTGAAAATACTAGCCTTAAGCAATAAGATTCTCTAAAGTATTTGGATTTGTAACCCGACAGAAAATGCCCATGTCCCAGGAAAAGCACAAACATTTTCCAATTCTTTGTAGATTCTTAAGACTTCTATAATTTCCAGGTCTTCCATGGTTTAAGGTCGGTGGTATTGGAATTTACTTCAAGAAAAGTGAGTACATGTGGCTTGCTCACAGTTGAAAAAGCCCTAGTTTAGGGTCTTTGTTCTCTCCAGTGGTAAAGTGTTCCCATAATGCTGTGTGGTTGGTTTTTCAATCTGATTACTGAACTCACTTTTGGCTCTGAATCATTCAGATAAAAAGGCAACCAGTATTTATAGCTGTAGCCCTAGATTCTTATGTGAGATAATCAACATGCAACATCACAACATGAATTTACTTTGAATGCTTCATTTGTGTATTTGCCTATGTAACAGATGCATAGCTGTGAAAATCCTGTCTTGAGAGCAGAGGAATACCAGAATGTGACTTAACTCTGTCCTCCAGCAATATCATACCTTTCACATAAGCTGCAAGCTCAGGAGGGCAAATTTAACCTTGATAAAAATTTGTTGCTATAAAACAGCTTAACAATGCTAGCCAAACACTCCAGCGTTAGAGAATCCATGGGATGTTTTATTCTTGGCTAACTTCAGAGGCAAATATTGGCAAGGGCTTTAAAAATTCCTGGTTAAAGAATTGAAATTTCACTGCCTGAAAACCCATTTCTGAAAATGTAATCTTCCCATTGGAGAAAGTATATAGTACATTCTTCATCAGAGACTGTTGGCAGCTAAAAAGATGCCAAAGTCACATTCTCTGCATATCAAAAGTTCAAGGATCTTAAATGAAGATAAGGTTTTCCTCAGTAGTCAATCATGTTCTGTAATTCAAAAGATAAAATTCATGTCTCAGTGAACAGAAATGTCCTCTCTGATGTCTTCCTTTTTAAATCATTGATACTCTACCAGTGATGTAAATTTTTATCCGGCACTTGTGATCTAATGAAGCCACAGCTACAGTTGTTGCATGTGTGGACCTTAAAATAGGTTTTCAGAGATGTCTGTGTTTTGTGCAGATGTTGAGGTATCATTAACCTGACTCTTTTATCCCTTCCATAGTAGTTTTGGATAGCTCTGGATCAAAATCAAACAAAACATCAATTTCCTTGCTTTGAAGGGAATAAAAAATTTGAACAAAAATTCCCTTGCTTAGTTTAGCTCAGTGCAGATACTCTCTGGGCTGTAGGTAGAAGAGTGTTTACAGCTGGGTCACAGACCCTCTGACTATGAGAAAGCAGTAGGCCTGGCTGTGATGCTCCCGGCATATTGGTTTGCAGAACATTAGAACAGATTAAAATGCATTTTGCATTCCAAGAAGTGGGCTCAGGGCTGAGCGTGAACAGTCCCAGCATCAGTAATGATGAAGGCAGAGAAGAATTCCAGCCTTAGCAGCAGTTAAATCACATGTTGTTCCAGGTGCAGCCTGCAAGGGCAATGTCCTAAGGCGTTTAGTGTTCCAGATGCATTTGGTGCATTGATTACTGAGGACGGTGAGAGCTGGATTAAGGCCAAGCAGAGACAGGAAAGGATGTCTGCAGGTTGAGTGAAGGGCAGCATAAGCCTGCAAGTCACTTTCATACTGGTGTTCGGAGGCATCCAGGGGGATAAAGTGATTCAACTTGTACTAGAGGTATCCCTCCTGCGAGAACGCGTGTCCCAACTAGTCGCATGGTTCTCTATGCCTAAGTTCAGCAGAATCCATTGAAGACTGAGAGTGGCAATGCTGCCTCTGAGAGGTGCCCTTCAGTAAAGAACAGGGATCCGTGTCTCAGCTGAGGATCTCCACAGTCTATGTTAAACATAGTCGTCCTTGGACTGGTTCTAGGGAATTTCTTCTTAGCTAACCCCGCTAGATTCATCTTTATATTCCCTTGGAAGTCCCAGAAAATGCAGTATGTATTGGTCTTCATGAATCCACTGTCTATCTACAACGTGTAGAATTCCCTAAGTGGTCTGAATGAAAGTGTGAGATCCGGGTCTCGTCTTCTGGCATCAACTAACAGAACTTCCCTGTTGGGAAAAGGCTACGTTGCTTCCTCCCTGCCCTGCAGCTTCAAGAGGTTTTTAAAACTCAAGAAAGAGCGTCTCTATAACTCAAG